TGATTTGTCTTTGACCAGACCAGATAATAGATTAATTAAAGAGCGCGTAAGTCGATGCGGACACTTCTGACTATTGAATAATAAAAAAAAAAGTTTCCATGAATGAAAAATTTAGGGAGAGTTTAATTAAATATTCACACAGACAGTGACAGAGCCAATATTTAATTATTCGAGGCCCAAATTATGTGTTTAAAAACTCAAATCAATAACTATGAATATATTCATATTTTTTAGATTTAAATTTTTAACATAAATAGCTTTTCATAAATCTCCACTTAGAAATCGATCAAAGTGACACCCAACGTGGATCTTCTTTTTAATTTTTGAACTCATTATACCTTTTTTTAAAGAACTGATTATGATTTGATTTGAATTATTTATATATTTTTATATAAATATTAAAGAAATTAAGTGATTATTTTAAAAAAAATAGTTGAAATTTACGTATAATTTTTAAAAATATAATTAATTAAGTTATTCAGATCAAATTTTAGATTATTAATAAATTTGAATATAGACTATAAAAATAAAATTTGTCGAATTATTAAATTAAATCTGAATCGAACTTCTGAAAATTGAGTTTAAATTCGAATCATTTCAACTCTGATCCATATCCAATTCGTATGTGAATAGTTGGGAGACAAATCTCTTGACACCTATGAAGCACGGATACGAATACGAGATACAGATACGATACGATACGGGTACGGAGATATGGTAAAATAAAAAAAAATAGGATACGGGTACGGGTACGGCTAGGATACGTCCATAAAATATATATTTTTTAAAATTTTATTATTATATTTAATGTAATAATTATAATTTATAAAGTAAATCACACTTCTATCAAAGATTTATAATAATAACTAACCATCAGAGTCAGTCGATCCTCAGTGTGAGTGAGTGAGAGAGAGAGAGACGATTGTTGTCGAGTATCGACTAAAGGGAGTGGGGGCTTGATGGGTTGTGGAAGAAAAATGTATAGGTTTTAGTCTTTTAGACTTTTAGTTTAATAATATATTTTTTTTTTTGCAAATAAGGGCTTAAATATATTACTCTTGTGCCCCTATACTTTTTTAAAATTTGAGTAATACCTCGTCGTATCCTTATGCGTATCCTAGGCGTATCCAAAACGTATCCGATCGTATCCAAAAACTAATTTTTTTTATTTTTTATTTTAGGATACTTCTCAGACGTATCCGGTACGTATCTAACGCGTATCAGTATCCAAAAATATCCGATACGGATACTTTGACTCTTTTAAAATATCTGTGCTTCATAGCTTGACACAATAATTTTCATCTAGTACTTGATGATAGATATGTAAGGAGTTTTACCTTCCGAGATATGTACGGAGTTTCGTAACTACATGGGGGCCATGCCCCCTTTGGTCGTAAAGGAGCCCCTCTCTCTCCACACGGGATACTTAAATTAATAAATAAAAAATAATAGTAATCATTTATATTTTTTGTACCGTACCAATTAAGCATAATTGCTAAATCCGTTTATTTATTTATTGTGTAATAGAAAAATAAATAAGAAAATAACTTCTATTTTAACATTCATTAATAAGATTAGGTTGAGGATTTAGCGGTGACTTAATGGCCAACCAATCCATTGTTAGACTTAAAGACTGCGGGTAGGACTAATAATTGAGCCAAGTTATTTGAGCTTCGGTCGACACGGGTTCACCTCGTTTTAGGCTCGGTTCGATCTCGTTTCATATTTTAAATGAATTGAACTTAAATAATTTTTTAGGTTCATTTATAAAAATAAGTCTAAAAAAAGTTCAGCTTAAACTCGTAAAATTCAACTCTTTTATATACAGAATAACTTGAATAAAAATTTAAAATTATTTAAGAAAACGAGCTCGAAAAGATTATTAATTATAGTCGTGCATTCGAACCTTATCCATTCCTAATAAACACTTTTAAAAAAGAAATGTTGAGATTAATGTTTAGTTTATAATGGACCATCTTTCTGATGTTGGATATTAATTTTGTGAGTTTGAATCTCGTCGTCGACTTTTATATAATAGTGCTGACGAAAAAAAAAAAATGAAAAAAGAGAGGAACATTTCCTCTATCGAATTAAATAGAAGTTACTGACACAAAAAAAAAAAAGAAAAAAAAAGAGAATTAAATAGGAGCTCAAATCCCCAAAGGGTACACGTTCGTAATATAACTCAGAACAGGGACATATCATGCACGTTCCTCAAAAACCAAACCACAGAAACAGAGAAGTACAATCATAGAACTCGCTCGCTTTTCCCGTACACCCACCCGCACCAGATCCAAAACACCCATTCTGAGAAAAAATAAGTAGTCAGTTTTGGCCTTCCTATTTTCTCTTCCAACAGACGCTCTCTTTGATCGCCGAGCATATACCGGATCGGACACTCCCTCTCTCCTACAATCACTCCCTTTCACCTGTTGACCATTGCCCATCCCGCTCACGCTTATACAGACCTTCGATGTTGAAGAGCTCTGAGAGATTGAGTTGAATTCTAGGGTTTTCTTTTCACATGAAGAAATGCAAAGAAAATGTATTGCGACTGAATTTCTCATTTTGATGAGTGAAATTAACTCAGAAGATAAAGTCACAGAGATCGACGTAAATTCACGTGAAAATGGCCGCTTCTCCGGCAAAATTTCTGTTTGGATTCCTCCTCGTTTCCGTAATCTTATGGCTCCTCTTTATGTGAGTCATCAATCTTTGTGTGTGTGTGTGTGTGTGTGTAATATATTTATGCACGAATAAATCGATAGTTCTGTTAAGTTTGGTTCAATGTGCAAATTTTATTGTTGATCATGCTTATAGTGGTATTTGTAGATGTTTAAGTTGACTTGAATTTGTGCTCCTTTTGTACTTAGAGGTGCTTGATAGTTACATTTAGCTCACAGTTTTGGCCGAAGACTTGCACGGTCACAAATTTTGGAAATTCTGTTTTTTTATGCGGAATGTGTTCCATTTTTGGTAATTTTCTTCATATTTGCAGTCACAATTATTGGTTATTGGTTCTGCTGATTAGCTCACTGAATGAAGTGGGGTTCTGTTTGATGGGAATGGCAATATTATATTGCGTGGTGATTGATTTAGCTTTCTGATGTCGATGTTTTTGTATGTGTCTTTGATTCACATATATACGTTCAATACTCAGAAAGATACATTCTTAGAGGGCGGTCCTTGATGTAGCAGGAAAGTTGTGTACTATGTCTCAAGGGTCAAGGGTTCGAATCAGCTTTTATGTCTAACTATCTCTAGATCCTGTAGTGGTCGGATCCTTGTGTTTGGGGTAGCATCCCCATTCCTTTCAGTTAGACGCACTCTTTCCTTAAAACAGTTTTTCCTGTAGTTCATTTTACACTAAAATTTGAAGTCACCTCATCTATCATCTACATTTTGGTTTTCCCAAGTTACTAGGATAATTATAGTCATTCTCATTGTCAATATGATTGTTACTACAACTATGTTGGCCCCCTTTTGAAAATGGTCACAGATGTGTATTTTCCTTACTATTGTTTCTTATAGAACCACCTAAATTAGGGCTTGACGTTTTCACTATCAGTAACATTCAGGAACTGTTATGGTTTGTGTGAAGCGGGGTCATGTCAGGTCTACATGGGTTTGTGTTAAAATTGACTTAACTCATACACGGACATATTTATTAAATGGGTTGAATTACACACACGAACACAACCCATTTATGTAATAGGTGACACAATACGACCGGTGTAATCTGTTAAGTAAATGGCCAGTGTCAAGTAGATATTGGGTTGACACACATACAAGTGGTCTATCCTAAGCCACTTAGACACCACCATAACCAATACCCAACATCAAATTCACCACCCAAAGCATAAAACCCAATACCATACCCACTACACCACACCTATAATTAACTCTACAACCATACACCACAAGAAGCCATAAATTATAGATTTGCGATCTAGTAGAGTTAATGGAAAAGAGAGAGAGGCAGATAGGTTGAGAGATATGAGAAAGAGAGATATATAAAAAGGTGTTATGAGAGAGTGAAAGTGATATGAGAAAGAGAGGCGGAGAAGAGAGTTGCGAACACGAGCTCTAGGAGGGAGAGATAGATTAGGGTTTTCGTTTTTGTAGTTAGATTTCAACGGGTTGGCTGGTGGTAAATAGGTTAAGGTGCTTCACTCAAATATGATTTATTTATTACATGAGTTTAACGAGGGTACCCGTTAATCCAAATCCATTGACTGGCTGATTACATGTCGGTTTTGTGTCGGGTTCCAAATTTGTATGAAGAAATGGCAGGCCTCATATTTTTCTCAATATCCCAATTCCATCAACCTCATTTGTTTATATTCTTGTTTAATTATTTTTATTACTGATATTTTTAATGAAATAGAAGTGACATGATATTCTACATTCAGATCAACATGAGATCACGTTCAATTGTTCATTATTTATCATATAGCAAAGCATTACAAGATGGGAAATATATAAACATACTAAATTAAATGGTATTTGGGAATATTGCTAATAAAACCTATTGATATCTTGGCCTAATGAGGCCCCTTTAAGGTTGATGCCTGATGGGCAGTGCTCGATGCATCGCTAGCCCGGGGTTTGAAAAATAAAAAATGAAATAAGGTTGATGCCCAAGTTACAATACTAATCGTTTGTCAATAACAAGCAAAAGCTCGAAAATTTAACAACAAATAATATTCAACTTAAAATAGAGAATACTATAATGTTTAGTTCATTTGTTAAGGCTGATTCTTCAATATATGTGTATATCTATATATAATTTATCTGCAATTTTTGGTTATTATCAAGTTTACCTACTATAGCTTATTACTTGTATCATCAGTAAAGCATGGTTTAAGGTTTTTGGCTTATTATTTCCTTGTTATCATCATCAGTCTTTTGATGGCCTTTGTTGTCATTAGCAATGCTAATGAATAAATTGTTGTGGTTGTGGCTCGATTCTAGATCACTTACCATACATCTTATTTCAGATTTGCTTCCAGGCTGTTGGCTTGGATTCTCAGTCGGATTATGGGAGCATCTGTTACATTTCGGGTTGGTGGATGGAAATGTTTGAGGGATGTTGTTGTGAAGTTCAACAAGGTTTATTTCATTTACTTTGATCGCTAGACATGCATAGTTTTTATGCATTTGTCGTATGCTGCTATGTTTCTTTAACCTACATCTGTTTGTAGTTGAAGCCATGTTCTCCACCACTTGATGATTTATTATGATAAATTATGAGGGAACCTGTAATTATGAACCCATGAGGCATCTCCGTATAAGAGCCTGCCACCTTTATTGTTTTTGAGATTTTCATTGGTTGCCAATGTCCCCCTTTTTTTTGAGTACTTCATATATACATATGAATTTTAGGGATATGAGTGAGTTTGAGAAGTGCTCATGGACTTGTACTCCGTTTGAATAATGTAATTTTGAGTTTTCTACGGTGGAGGGATTCGGATATTTTTTTTATCCAATTGCAGATTAGTAACTCAACTAAAATGTGTTATGTTTGCTATGACCAATGTTTGCAGGGTGCTGTTGAATCTGTTTCTGTTGGTGAGATCAGACTCAGCTTACGGCAGTCATTGGTTAAACTCGGGGTTGGTTTCATTTCTAGGGATCCGAAACTACAGGTATTAATATGTGACTTAGAAGTTGTGATGAGGTCTTCAAATAGAAGATTCGAGAAAACCAGATCTCGGAGATCTCGCAGTTCGGGCAGAGGAAAGTGGATGGTTGTGGCCAACATAGCGAGATTTTTGTCAGTTTCTGTGACAGAGTTGGTTGTGAAGGTAAGTGGTGTCCGACAAAGTATGTTAATTGAAGCTATACCTCATTATCATTTGTTTATCTTTTCTTTTGACGATGGTGTGGTTTCCATGGAAAACGATGATAATGTGACTTATGGTCAGCGGTCTTGCAAAGTTAGTGTACAACCTTACTCTTTGGTAGACAATCAAACGTATTATTAAATTTGGCTTAAGTATATTTACATGCATTCATATATGAAAATTATAATTTCGTTTCCGACATTCAAAGTGCATGCTGTCTTGTTTGATGTGGCATATTCCCTAGGATTGATTATCTTGCAATAGTTGACAAGTCACTAGCTTTCTTATAATCTGAATGTTATCACGGTGGGGCCAGGAGGACACACGTTGTTAGTGTGTATATACATATGCATGCTTTTATGTACAGTTTATCTGTGTTAGATTTATAGTTTTTCCTATCAAAAAAGTGGAGGTTGATAGCTTTGAAACAAGAAGTTATAATACTTAGAATACAAGCAGAGAGAGAAGCACAGGACACACGTGACATGTTAAATTGGTGTTGTTTAACCTATTACATTTTTGTTCTAAAACAATAGAGATTAGAAAGAGTTTTTTTCTGGTTTCTTTGGCCTTGAGTGAGAGGGTGGGACTGATTATGTCAACAATTTTTTAGATATAGAAATTTTCAATTCACAGCACTGTCTTATCCCCTTTATTTATTTTTCAAGTGTTATCTGCATCAGTGCCACTGCCACAGATTGCAGGAAATGTTGATTGATTATGACTGAGACTCTTGAGAGTTTTTGCTAATTTGTTAGATGGATAACATTTGTTGTGAGGGCCATAATGTAGTGGAGTCTAACAGTGGGCTTGACATTATAACTCAATACTTTTACATGTGCCTGCAGATTTTGGAATATGGAACATATAACTAAACACTGTCACACGTGGTGTATTGACACTAAATGAAACTAACTTAATAAAGTTGGTATTGTGTAAGTTATGGGAGACGTCCAAATCCAGAAAGTTGCATATTTTTATTTGTTTTCCTAGACATACTTATAGTGTGCCCCCCCGCCCAAAAAAAAACAAGAAAAAAGGGTGTGGAATCTTACATTCAACGACCCTTCTTTTATGTTGTAACTGTCTATTGAAATTCTGCAGATGCCAAAAGCTACTATTGAAGTTAAAGAACTAAGAATGGACATATCTAAAGATGGTGGATCCAGACCGGCCCTGTTTGTTAAGCTACACCTTTTACCTATCACTGTTCACTTGGGTGAACCGCAGGTTAGTTGTGATCACTCATCCAATTTTAACAATGGTGGATGTGTTCCTGCTAGCCAAACATCCTTCGCCATGATGGAGAGGGCCTCTGCCCCTTTCAGCTGTGAAGAATTCTCTATATCATGTGAGTTTGGGCATGATAGGTAGGTTTTCTTTTTCTTTTCTCTTTCCAATTTTTATGGAAATTCTCTTATTATCTCCCCCACCCAAAAATAAAAAAAAAAATTGATGTATAGAATATAGATGCACTAGTGTCATGGCCCCGTGCATATATATTCTATTATTTTTTTAATTTATTTTTTTTCGTTTCATCTTGTCAATTAAGAAGGTAAAAAAAAATTAAACTAAATTATTGAATAGTAATTTTTTTTTATATAAATAAATTTGAAAAAATAGTGGGGAGTTAATATGGGGTTGAGAGGTGGTTACAAAATACACATTGGTATAATATGATTAGAGGAAGACTTAGTATGGTAATTAAAAAAATTGAAATTCTAGAAAATTAGGAAGTGTATAGGGAAGATAATGTTGTATTGAATAGGACACTGGAGTTTTTTTCCCTTCCTTTTGGAAATCTTGAAGTATTCGGTTATTGATGTGCATCAGAAGTATTATTTTTAGTGGATGCGTTTGCTGCCAATGTTGTTCAAGGAACCCAGGACCTCATGAAAGTTGTATGTGGATGGTGTATAAAGGTTTAGTATGAGTAAGATGAGGGAATTCAATACTTTCTATTGGAATAAAGTGGAATTTCTCAATTTTGAGTTTCTTTCTTAGAACTAGACTAGCCATAGTTTTTATCAAACTTATCTTATTGAATTAAGTTATCGTTCATTATACAGTTACGAATGCCTATGTACTTGTAATAAATCTTATTATAAACTTTCCAGCCTAGCCAGTCTTTTTTGCCAGATTAATGTTATGCTTTCCATGTAGTCTTTTCGGTTGTTAAAAGGAAAATGAAAGCAAGACCAAAACAGAAAATAGGTTTTCTACAGTTTTCATGACTGTTTCCTTTTTCAATCAGTTCGTAGTGTCTATATCTGTTGACACAGGAAAGCGGGTGTAGTTGTTAAGAACGTGGACATCAAGAGTGGAGAAGTCACTTTAAGCTTAAATGAGGAGATGTTTCTTAAGAAGAAGAGTTCATCTGATGCCTTTTCTCACATTGACGAAGTTTTAGGATCTACCGTTGAATCTGATGATGCTAAAAAGCCACACAAAAAACAGATATCAATTTCGGCAATCACAAAGTACACTTCTATGTTCCCAGAAAAGGTCAGTGAGTTTTTATTTGCAATTAAGTGGCTTACTGCGCATTTTTCTGTTTTTTCTTCCTTTTACTCTTCCTACATTTTTGGCTTTTTACTGGACATGTGCGTGTTTGACATTTTTTGTTTTAGCAAATTTTGTTGGTTTAGTGCCCATTGATATTGATGTGTAGTTTGGATTGAAGAAGACACATATATAAATTAACGTACCATTGGAAAAATATTTGATTCTAATTTCTGCTTAATTTTTTAATCATTTTTTCCTTTTATTTTCTATGGAAAGAAAGTAGATGAGCATGTGATATCATTACCTTGTTGGGCTCGTGGGATATAGGGTTGTACTTGGTTTCATGGCCCTTGACCCTTGCCCGCCATGCTATCATTTTTGAGTTTAGGTGACTGAATTGTGACATAGAGTCCTTTCTCTTTTTCTTTCTTTGTATGGGATACTGCCTTTTATCAGAGTTAATTTTTTTTTTTTTTTATATTATGACGTTTGTTAATCGTATTTAACACTTTATTGTTATGTTCAACTTTCTTTACCAGAGTACCATAATTTTAAAAGTGAGTTTTTAACTCACGCTTATAAGGGTAAACATGTGGTTAAAAACACGCCTTCAAAAAGACCAATCTGAGCTAAAAGTGTGTTAGCATTTTTTGTAAACGCGCCTTCTCTTCACATATTTAGAGATGATGTCATGTCATTATCACGTTAAATGATAGGTAAGGGCACCTCGATATCTGCAAGCAGGCATACTTCTTAATGTAGGTTGGATTGTAGATTCTAGTGTAAAAGATAAAACAAAAGAAGGAAAGAGAAAGAGATCAAACTGCCGCCTTTCTGCTGAGGAGATTTGTTCGTCAATAAGTTATGCTTTGAATCATTTGTAAAAGAATTTAGTAAAGATGACAAGAAATCTATATGTAACACTTATAAAATAAGTAGTGAGGTGTCCTGAAAATGCACCCTCTTCACTAGTAAATCTGGTTGCATCTAGACTGGTGTTGATTTTTAATCTAAAAAAAATAAGAGATATTCGGGGTTTTTTGTTCCTATTATTACGGGTACATATTGATCCATGAATAACATAATAACTATATGATAATATTTTAGTGATGGGATGGATAAGGATATGGTACCGAAAGGTTTTTTTTGGAATCATACCAAAAATGATTTGTGGCAATAAATCTTTGGTTGATTCATCAGTAGCCATTGATCATGGAAATAATAAAGTAAACCAAAACAATAAAATAAGATAACTTTACCCTTCCGACATTCTTATTGGTTAAAAAAGAGGTATTGTATTGCAAAAGTAACTTTTTAGTACCATAGTTAGACCCATTGGGAATAGAGGTTAAAGGTGGGTGGGTATGATTGTAGTATGGATTCAATGTTGTACCTGAAGTTATTATAGAAAAAGTTAGCTACAATTCATTTTGGACCAAGTTCTATCTCTTCAATTTTGAATTAGTGTTAAAGAAATTAAGATCAAGGATCGAAATATTGTGTCGAAACGTTTCAGATTTTTAAGACACCGACACCAAATAGGGGTGGAAAATAAAAATTCCTATGTTTTGAGTGAAATGTCATTGCTTTGGACCGTTTCGGTTGAAATGGTTATTTTTCAGTTGAAACATTAATAGTGATCACTCATAAAATTGTCGCTCCAAGCCAAAAAAAAAAGGGAAGAAATTCTTCCGCGCACCCAGAAATCGAAAGCAGGAGAAAATTTAGTAGCTTACCTTCCTGAGTCCAGATCTAAGCCACCCTCCACTCCCACGGTCCAAATCTAGGCATGAGATTCTTCCTTTCTTTTCTTTTTCTTCTTTCTTCTCTGTTGGGTCTTCATCGAGTCTCTTTCTCTCTCTGATCTACAAATTTGGGATGGGTATTGCACCCTCTTTCTCTCAGATATGGATTGGGATTGGATTGACAAGCCTTGCAGGTGAGTCTCAGATCCTCTCTCTCCCTCTCTCTCATGCGTTTTGCTGATAAGAAAAATGATCGACTGCATTAACCCCTACCTCTTTTTTTTTTTTGGGTTAGCTCTTTTATATTTATTAATTAAGTTAATGCCTTTTTTCCCCTTTTTTTCCTTTTATTATTTATTCATTAGTACCCTTGTTATAATCCTCTCATTTTTCCCCTTTTCCTTTTCCTTTTGTTCTTGTATATTTTTATTATTTGCTAAATTGGTATGTTAACCATATACATTGTTTGTTAAATAGCTATAATTAATTTTATGGTATATACCTCATTTGCAAAATATTTGAAATTAAGTATTTATGTGTGTCAAAAATATTTATGCAATGATTTTGGTATTAATGGAATAATATTACTTAGTAATTTGATGACACAATTTAAAATTAAGTGTTTTAAACTAGTTAAAGTGATTTCTGTATCGTATGAAGCATTTTTCCCCCTCCAACTTGATGTCGTCTTGTATAAATGGATGTTAACCCAATAAACATGCTCAATCAATTAATTATTAAGCTTATTTTTATAAATAAATTGATTGTATTTGTGTTTTCACATGTTTTCATATTTTTTTGCCGTTTTTATTACGTTTCCAAAATATTTTTGTGTTTAATCTAACAGAAACGGTATACCGAAACGATATTTTGATCATGGTTAAAATCAATCCGAAAACATTAGAATGAAATCATAAATGATAAAATATTTTTGAATATTTTAAGATAGATCTTAATCACGTTTCGAAATATCAGCCGAGACTGATATAACTCGGCCACTACTGATACGATACCAAGACACGATATGGAAAAATCCCGATTCTCATTCGAATCGGTTCTGACTTGCCCAACTCTGTACAACTCCAGCGATTCTTGGTACAATTTGGTCGAATTGGAGAGTCGCATCCAACTCATGCAAAGAATTGCAGATTCTTTGTAGCAGATTACTATTATAGAAACTCTAGCATCATTGGACCCATAAGTCCCTGCAACATCGATTAAGCAAAGTTCCATCTCCAACTCGTGCTTTCAGAGCCGGACTGAGTCTCTTTCTCTCTCTCTCAAACCTGTTGGCCTGTGCTCCCTCGCTCTCACTTGTGGAAGGAAGGACAGAGTCAAGTCTCAGTCTCTGACTGAAACTAAGTGCTTGTTCCCCCCAATTTTTTTTTTCTTTTTCATGATGATTTTTTTTTTGTTGCCAAGGGCCCAATCCCCCCCCCCCCTTCCCTTTTTTTCTCTCTCAAACCCAAAATATAACTCCACTCCCTGTTAGTTTTTGTTTCCATTTTTCTAATTTATATTTTTTCTACTATTTACCACATAATCTAATTAAAACTATATTTTTTCTATTATTTACCACATAGTTTAATTAGAACTTAACTGTTAAAAAAATACTTTATCAAGTATACTTTAATACCACAAAAAAGATGACAAATATTTTCGGTAACACCCTTATTGTTCTTTTTTACAATGATTAATGTATTGAACAATGTTTTTTGGAAATATGATGCATGACTCATGACCATTACATTTGTTATAATTTGTTTTTCATAACTTTTTGAGCCTTCAATATAGTGTTTTAAGTGAATTGGTCGATACCATGCCGTGATGCTGTGACCGATGTGCCTCAGTGGCCTAGTCAACACTGATACTGCGACCTTGAACCATAATCTCAATTGACTCCATTTATTGTAACCTCATCAAATTAAGTTGCGACTTCATCCAATTTAATCATAGTTTTTGAAATAATACCCAAAAATAACATTTTGATTTTTGACATCCTAATCTTCCCCCGTTAAAGTGACTTAAAATAATGAGGTGAAATTAAAAAACACTTGTAAAAATTTGAGCCAACTATGGGATCCTACTGGTGAACTTCGCTGACTGGTTGATCTCACCTCAACATCTTCACATAATTCTCAAGAGTTGCCACCTTGGAGAAAAACATTAAAAGGTTGAGAGTTTTGCCAGCTGGCATAGCCCAAGACTGTGCACATCCATCCACTAAGCATGTTAGTGTGCAGATGTCGAGGCCCCTCCATTATTTACTGGATTAAAGTTTTGAAGAAAAGATGTTGTTACAAAACATGCCTTCGGTTGGAGGTGTGTTTTGTAGACACTTTTAATTCGGATTGATCCTTTTAATGGCGTGTTGTTTACCCATGTTGTTACCCTTAAAAGGGTGGGTTAAAAATGCACATTTAAAATGACTGTATTTTGGTAAATAACATTGAAATATCGGTAAAGTGGTAAATAAGATAAAAAAATGCCTAATACAGGAAAAAATTCCATTTTATAGGAGGTGATTTTTGCCTTATATTTTGGGTCTTTGTTGTAAAATTGTTTTTCATGCTTCTTTTTGACCTTTTCCGACCAACGTACAGCTTGTTTCATATTACATTGTTAGTTGTGAAATCATTTTCTTATTCTTCTGGAGCAAACTTGTAAGGCATATACTCCAGCATCTTTCTTGATGCAAGTTAAAAAAGTAACTTCTTGTTGGATAGGTCTCCTTCATTTTACCAAAATTGGATGTGAAGTTTGTTCATCGGGTACATGATCTTGCTGTCGAGAATAATATCATGGGTGTCCAATTGAAAAGCGTCAAGTCTCAAACAATTGAAGATGTGGGGGAGAGTACGCGCCTTGATATTCAATTGGATTTCAGTGAGATTCATGTATTAATGCCCTCAGCTCTTTTTGATGCTATGATTTACATTCATATTGTTATTGATCCTTTTCTGTATGATGATTCTTCTGCCATCCCGTAGCTTTGTAGAGAAGCTGGCGCTTCTATCGTGGAGATACTAAAACTCGATGTTGTTTCTTCAGTTTACATCCCATTGCAGGTATGTAACGTGAAATAGTTGTGGCTCAGATCTATATGCTTTCCTTTATGCCATGGTTCTTTGCTTTCGGTGAACAAGACAATGGTTTGTTATCATTTTACAAATTTGCTTAATGCCTATTTCTGGACTCATGTAGTTGGAAAGCATTACTTAGAAGTTCTCTACAGATAAATAAAGGAAGATAAAAAAGGAAAATCCTAAACAAGCTTAAAACAAAATGACAACAACACGGTGAAGTAGCTTTGTGGCATCACTATTCACACACTTCTGCTCGGTGGTCTTTAATTAAAAATAATGGAATCCCGTTATTCTTGAGGGTTGTCATGTGTCTCATTCTCACCACTTAGGATTTATGGCATGCTAGGGGCTAATTATATTTAGCTTTAACACGTGCTTCCTTAGTAATCCATACTCAATTTGGGTGCATGTTATTCGTAGAGATTTATAGGATACAATTGCTTACACCTTTTTCTGTCAAACCCACTGAAAAACAAGTATCCAAAGCTAAAGGTTGCCACACATTCCTTCCTTGTGCAGATTTTTGAACCTGCCAAGGAGGGATCCTATGTAGGTTGAACCATGCCGAGATTACTCCCATTAAGCATAGTAATCCTTTGCTTATAATATGATTTGTACTGACAATCACCTCTGTTTAAAGCTCTGCAAACTTTTTTGAATGCATCACTAGGGGGTCCATCTACGGTGGACCTTTCAAAAATCTTCTACCCCTGGCCAGAATTTTCCCTACCTTTTAAGTTCCATTGTTCGGAACTCTTTGCAATTTTTACCTGGTTTTTGATAGAGGAAAGTTATGGATTGATCAAAGAAGGATCTTCTAACTTGAGTATAAAAAATGTCATCACCCAGTCTGATCCCCATTAATTGAGGGCTGGGAGGATGGACGGGATGCAACCTGAACTTTGGAATTCACAAGGTGGCTATCTTCGTATTCTAATTCAAAATCTTGTGATTGTAAGCCCAAGCATTTTTGCCACAACTCCGGTTAATGGCCCATAAGTCGAATAGTGCTATGCACACTGTATTTTTAACAAAATTTCAGTTGAAAGTAATGTGGTTTATTTGGATCACATCAAGTGAAGAAAAGGATCACCAATAGGTTTTTTTATTTTTTAAATGCCATTGCCACTGTTAGAACATCCAACCCAAAACCAATTGGTAATGAGTGGAAAGACCCCTTAAGAATATAAACCTTCAGTGAAGATATAAGCTCGCTTTACATCCTCACTCACCTGGGACCCGTGCTTACGCATGGGTCTAACAAACAAATAAACTGGCATACTAGGAAATTCAAATAGGCGAGAGATTCAGCCCACTGACCACCTAAGACCCCACTCTAATCCCATGGTAGAGCATCCAATTCAAAACCAATTGGCAACGAGTAAAGTAGCCCTGTATGGATATAAATCAGCCTTTAGTGGTCCTAATCATTCGATATGGGATACAAAATCTCATTACAAACAGATCATATTGGATAAGTATCTTATTCGATTCTCTAACATCTTTCTCATAAACTTGGTAACGTTGGTTGATTGTTGATCTTTTTGCTTATGGATAAGGTTCACATTGTCCTTCTCTTTCATGCATCTTCTTTGACTCCCCTTCCTTGGGCATTTATTAACTAATTTCCCATGACTACAAAATTGATCTAGATCCTTGGGAACAACTGATTGGTTGGTGTTAGATAGAATTTGTAGCAGGTCAAAAATAGAAAGGCAGCAAAAGCAATAGAAAGGAATGAACAGATGCTTGGTAGATCTGTAGGTAGAGTTTGTAGCAGCTTAAAAATAGACTCGTGGACTTGGACTTGAGCTTCAGTACCTTCTTTACTTGCTTATGTGCCAAAGGATTTGGACAGATAAACAAAATGGAATCAAATCAACAGAATGTTGAACTTTTACTAGGTAGTTTATGCATATGAAATTTCAAATAGGGTATTAAATGTGCAATAATTATAATTTTGAATTAACGTAGGAAACAAAGATTATTGTTGACTAGTCTAGAATTGTATTACTTGTGGTATTTTAATCGTCACATTGATTGCATTCAGGATAACTAGCTTATCAGCAAAAGTTATTTCTAATCTGTAATGGCATACATTTTTTTTAATTCTTACCGATTTACCGAAATTGAAGCTATATTCTTTTTCATTAAGGGTTGTCATACAGAATGTCATCCGGAACCTCCCCCCCCCCCCTCCTCCTCCTCCTCCTCCTCCTCTTCCTCTAATAGCAACCCAAAAAAAAAAAAGAAGAAAAGAAACTACGTAACTTCAAAGCACATTACTTTTTGCTAATTCGAGTAGATATATGCATGCTTTGATATGCACAGTTAAATTGATTTTTACACTAGACCAAAAAAAAAATCGAGGTTAGCTAAGTAAAGATGCCAAATGTTTATTATTTTCCAATTCAATTATCTTTTCTCTGGGTTATCAGATGCTTTTGTGTTACTAAGTGAAGTAATTCTTGACTAGATTTTGAAATTTTGATTTGTTGTCATTTCATTGACTTGTTTAGGATGCTTTGCTTTTCAGCCTACCTCACCAATCAGGTCTGAAATTGATGTTAAGCTTGGGGGTACCCAATGCAACCTAATAATGAGTAGATTAAAGCCATGGATGCGCCTGCGTTCCACAAATAACAGGAAAATGGTGCTTCGTGAGGACAGGTCTAGTCTTGAAAGGCCACAGTCAGCTGACATTAAAGCCATCATGTGGACATGCACTCTCTCAGCCCCAGAAATGACTATTGTGATTTATAATTTGAGTGATTCACCGCTGTATCATGTAAGTCCCCTTT